CAACTATTTTGTGATTGCACTTATCTGTGGTACTTAAAATAGTCAAATTCATAATGACAGAAAGTAGGATGGTGGTTACCAGGGATTGGGAAGAGGGTGATTGGAAGGTGTTTCATAGGGACAGAGTTTCAGTTTGGGAAGATTGACACATTCTGGAGATGGATGGGGGTGGTGGTTGCACAACAATGTGAACATTCTTAATGCCACTGAACTATACACTTACAAAGTGTTAAAATGGTAAACTTTACGTTGTGTATTTTTTAACCACACATGTACACAAAAGACACGTATGAATCTGCACGGTCAGACCAGATGGTAAGATGAAAGAGTATTGACACCTGATGAAATGTAATGGAATCTGACCTTAGCAAGAACTGTGAAAGATTTGGAAGGCTTTATGCTGGGTCTCACTCAGAGATGTAGTAGGTCTGGACTGGGACCCAAGAATTTGCATTTCTAACGAATTCCCAGGTGTGTTTGTTATCTATTGCTGCATAACAAATTAACCCATATTTTAGTGGCTTAAAAGAATGTACATTAATTATCTCATAATTTCTGTGGCCCAGGAGTCTGAGATTAGTGGTTCTGGCTCAGGATCTCTCATGAGGTCGTAATCAAGCTGTTGACTGGGGGCTGAAGTCATATGAAGACTTGGTTGGAGGACCCACTTTTAGGATGGCTCACTCCCACCATTGTTAGCTAGAGACTTTAGTTCCTCTCTAGCCAGATCTCTCGGTATGGCTGTCTCACCGCATGGCATCTGAGTTCCCCAGAGTGGAGGCTTCAAGAGACAGAGAGCAAGCAGGAAGCCAGCATTTGTGACTAGTTCTAAAGTCTAATCTTAATAGGTCATTAAATCCAGCTCATATTCAAAAGGAAGGGCTCCACCTTTTAAAAGGAAGAGTACCGGGGCGCCTGGGTGGTTCAGTCGGTGAAGTATCTGCCTTCAGCTTGGGTCATGATCCCAGGGTCCTGGGATCGGGTCCTGCATCGGGCTCTCTGCTCAGCAGGGAGTCTGCTTCTCCCGCTGCCCCTCTTCTCACTCATGCTCTCTCTTGTGTTCTCTCTCCCTCAAATAAATAAAATCTTAAAAAAAAAAGGAGGAGTACCAAAAAGTTGTAGACGTTTTAAAAAAACAATATACTGGGTTTATTCTTGGGGCTGCTGTAAGAAAGTGCCATGAACTGGGTGACTTAGACAACAGAAATTTATTGTCTCACAATTCTGGAGGCTGGAAGGCTGAGATCAAGGTGTTAGTAGAGCTAGTTTCTTCTGAGGCCTGTGAGGGAAAATTTGTTCCTGATCTCTTTCCTTGCTTCTGGTAGCCTCACGTGCTGCATGGCTTACAGCTTACGGATGGTCATCTTCCTCCTGTGTCTTTACATTGTTTTCCCTTTGTACATGTCTATCTCTAAATCAAAATTTCCCTATAATATTGTCCTTGTGGATCAGGACCCACTCCACTGATCTCTTTTTTACCTGATTACCTCTAGATAACCCTTATTTCCAAATAAGCTCATGTTATGAAGTACTGGGTGTTAGGACTTCAACATCTTCTGACTTGGATCTAATTTAACACACAATATAATCAGGTAATGCTGAGGTTCCTGCTCTGGGGAACATACTTTTGAGAATCACTGGTCTAATCCACCCCTTGATTACACTAATGAGAAATGTAGGTTTTCCATAAGCTAAACAAACTACCGAGTGTCAAAGAGTGAGTTTACGGCAGAGTTCAGACGATACCACATATTTCTTGATCTACACTCAGTGCACTTTCCATGAACCACAGAGTGTTTGGTCATCTTTGATCCAAAGTTCTCTGAAGAGCTCAGTTATCTGTGGGCCCATGAAGCCTTTGTGTTTTTTCTAGGTTATGGTTTTTCACTCTGACTCACAAAACTCTGTAGTTCCAGGAATCCTTTAAAGGGTGTGTGTGTGTGTGTGTGTGAATTTTCTGGAAACTACATCATTCATCATTAAGTTATCTACACAGGGAAGGAGAAAAGAGAGGGTAGGAGATGAAGAGGAGATAATGAAGGAGAGAAGAGTAAGGAAATGGGGTGTGAGAAATACAGAAAAAAGAAATAACCATTGTACCAATTTACGTTCCTGCCATAGCCTGCCATATCACCCGGTGTGAGTCACGGTGGGAGGTGAGATGAAATCAGCTCTACCTGTTATATGTATCTATATTTTTAGAAATTCAAGGTTAAGATGAACACTTATATATCCACCAGTTATCTAAAGACAAAGAACATTGGCAGGAGCACTGACACTTCTGTGTGCCCTGTTCACAGCACCCTCTCCCTCCTTCCTGGGTTATTTACTATTCCCAGGTTGGTGTGGATCATGCTCTTGTTTTGCTTTATGGTTTTACTATGGAGGGATAGACCCTTAAACAATATCTTGCTTTGTTTTACCTGGTTTTGAACTTTATGTAAATGGAATCAGACTAGGTAAGCATATGTGACTTCCTTTTTTTCCTCTACCTGGTGATTATCATGTGATTGTGATTCATTCATTGTCATTGACGTCCATCCATCCTCGGATCAATAGATAGGTTACTTCTGTTGTTACAAAAAAAATAATGTTATGAACATTCTTATGTTTGTGTACTGATGTGTGTCTGCTCCTTGGTGAGTTAGCCACAGAGACTATACCAGGTAGAGTTGCCTGAGATCATGGGAATCTTTCCAAAGCTGTGTCTCCCAGAGCAGGGGTAAGCAGGTTCCTTTTATTAGGGTTTGGGATGAATATTCAGAGGGGGAGCTCTCATCAACGCATGCAATGGACAGGCATAGAGTTACACATTCCCACTCAGAAAACATGCCTATACATATGTTGTATGTCATGCCAATGAGGCTTATGTCCCTCTCAGGGTGGGGATTTTAACGTTATAATGAAGTTCAGACACTTTATGATTCATCTGCACAGGTGTCTGTCCTGGGGGGTCATATTCAAATGTTTTTTTCTTGTTCCAGCAATTCGTTAGTTTCTAAAAGATAAAATTTATAGTTAGGCAGAAGCTTCTAGGAGTTCCTCAGTTCAGGGGTCTCACTGATGGCAACGATACATGTCTTCTGGTACACTGTGCAAGAATTTCTGCAGGGTATATGCCTAGGATTGTAACTGATGGATTGTAGGGCGTACTCCCCTTAACATCATGGATTGGTTGGCTGATTTCAGGAGGGCTGAACTAGTATACTCCCACCAGAAGCATCTAGAAGTTATTGCTATCTCATGTCTCAGCAGCACTTGTTAGTTCAACATTATGACTACAAGCTGACTTTAGAACTAAACCCTCACATTAGATGTGACCCCACCATATTGGACTTTGGGGACTTTATGATCCTTGTGCCTAGGATGCCTGATGCCTCTGACATAATAGGTGCTCAGTAAATGAGAGGAAAATTAAATGAATCTAAGCTTTAGCTGTGTGGTAAAACTACATTTTTTTTCATATTTTAAACGTTTAGCAGCACATTCCTGATCCCAATCTTTCCTTCTGACTCCAAATTATGTACCTATTGTCAACCTATAGTGGTGTATTTTTTCCAAACTCAAAGGCTACACAGGAAATTTCATGCAGCAGTCCAAGTGTTGCCCCTAGAGGTGGGCAATGTATTACATTCACTTTACTGTAATCTAATGAAAGATTGTAACACGAATTTTAGAGAAAAAAAAAAATAGAAGAGAAACCTTTACAATTCCTAACCTTAATTTCTGAACTTACTTAGTTCTTATATGTTCCAAAATTTTTAAAGAAATAGTAAAAATTCTGCTTTCACATACTTATTTGGTTTTCTTCTTAATTAAATATCCACAATTAAGTTAAAAACACTTTTGTGACAATGCGTAGGAACTGCTGTCTAAAGGCATCTATTTTAATGAGCTATAAAGTTTTGGTTCCCAAATCCTGGTTTGTGAACCTCTGCCAATTTCTGATGAAAGTTTTACTAGCCTAAAAGGTAATAACAGAACAACAGAGTGAGTTTTCAATACAGTGAAGTGCATTCCATTTAAAGGAACTTTTTTTTTCCCCTGGGATTATGTCATTTCTACCGTTTTTAATGACTAAATGTGTTTTAAGAAATGATGGTGTATGTATTTGCTTGGCAACTTTGTGTGTTTGTATTTTAATTCTCCTGGTCCTTCAATTCTAAATGTTTGGAAACTCTTTCAGAGCAGCCTACTGCATCATTTAAAATGTATTTTGTAGAAAGCACCCTGGGAGTTACTCCCAAGGGCACACAAGTCTCAGAAAGCAAGGTATACTCATTTCTATTCCATGACGGTGCATTTAATTCTGATTGGGTTTCAAGTTAAGGCTTAGTGCTAACACTATGGGGAGAGGCGTGTAAACAAGGCTAGGACTGTTTCATCCTCACCTGTGAATGGTTTAGCCTGCGCGTTACACAGTTAAACAATAGGAGTGTGAGCGCCATGGAAGGTAGAGTGGTTTGGCAGTTGCTGGAGGGAGGTGGAGACCCTGGACCCTGAAAATGTGAAAAGGTAGAGAGAAGGGGAAACCCATAGTAGAAAGACATATAGGAGGCAAGGCTTGGGGTCCATTCTGGCGTGAGCAAAGAGAGCAGCCTCTGCGTTGGCGTGTGGTGAAGTCAGACGGCAGAAGGAGGTGCGGGGGAGCGGCGCGGGTTCTGCGGTTCAGGGAGAGCCAGCTCGAGGTGCAGCGCTGGGCAAGGGAAGGAAGGGTTGGCTAAAGAGCCACGTGGAAGTCATACCAAGACTTAGACAACAACAGAATTCAGCAGCTGTAGAAGGCGAAAGAGGCCAAAAGGTACAACCCACTACCACCTCAGCTTGGGGCTACTACGAACCAGGGGGTGGAGTCGGACACGCCCTGGGAGCTCACACACCCAACCAGCGACGAGCAGCCCCGGACCGCGGAACACGCCCCCTGCTTCTTCCCGACAGCCCCCGGAACCTAGCTCCCACCGGCGCCTGCGCATGCCTCAGGCCCCGCCCCTTCGCCCTCCTGCCTGGGTCTCCGGCAGCTAATATGGCGGCTCCCCATGTGTCTTGCGCCGCAGCAGCTTCCTACCGGCTTTTTCTCGGAGGTAGGGTTAGCCTCGCCCGGAGACAAGGCGTCTGGAAAGCAGCGGCTGCTGAGTTGCAGACAGGTGCTATATTCCAGGTAAGGGAGAAGTGGAAGCACTGGTCCGTGTAGCGCGAAGATGTGGAGCCGGCACCGCTACCTTCCCCTGGCCTTTCGCGTGCCCTCAGACGGGGACTTAAGGGTCTGGGGTATCTAGTAGAGGTCTGAGGTTGAGAGAGGAGGAATGGGTATTAGTTTGCAGCGGCCACTTGAGGTTGTTTCTGGTTTTCGCAGGTGCAGTGAGGGAGGAAGTTATCTGCAGTCGGAACTAGAGCGACCCCCCTTCCTTAAGTTGGCAGCCAAGCTAAGGGGAGTCGGTGCCTTAGGTGTGGTGTAGGGTCCGGTCCTTCCCGCTTGCTCCGCGGTTCAGTGGGGAGGAAGGCCTCCCATTCAGAGGAGGTGAATGAGAACTGGACTCCTGCAGTAGTCTGGAAGACTTAATGGAGAAAGTCACCGTGGATAGGTTTGATAGTGACTTTAAAAGTGCCTTGCATCTGTGCAGTTTCTGTTTTCTTAATTTTCCCGACACCTTGTCTCTGGAGAGATGGAAACCAGAACTTGTACTTTTTTCCTTTACTCCTGAGGGCAATGAGAAGCCAAGATTCTAGCTTCACGGGACTCAGTTGGGTGATGGTGCCGTTTGCTGACATGGGATTTCAAAAGGAGGGAAAAGTTTTGAGAGGAAAGAAAACGAGTTTAGTTTTGGATATAATTGTGTTTATTATACAGTTATAATTGGGATGTCCAAGTGGAGATTTCCAGTAGGCCCAAAGATTGACAGGTTTATAGTTCAAGAAGAAATCTGATTTACAAGTCCTCTGTTAACTTGTAGATGTTAATCAAGGCCTTGGAAGTGAATTCAGACACCTAGTGAAGGTGTCCTGAACTGGAATAAATAGAGGGACAGGGCCCTGAAGGACAACAGTCAAGGAAGAAGAGCCTCCCAAAGATTGAGCATGAACTGCCAAAGTTCATTCAGTGAACCAGACAGGGTGGTGTTATGGAAAATAGGTGAATGTTTTAAGTAGGGAAAGTGATAAACAAGTACCAAATATTGCAAAGAAGTCAAATATTATGAAATAAAAACTATTGAGAAAAGGAATGCTGTATATTTTTAATCATCTTTTATATTTTAACCTAAATCAACCAGTCCATCTATTCATTTATCCATCATTTATTTTTTAATACTTTTTTTTAAAGATTTTATTTATTTGAGAGAGAGAGCATGAGCATGGGGAAGGGCAGAGGGAGAGGGAGAAGCAGACTCTCGGCTGAGCGAGAAGCACTCAGCAGGGGAGCCCTACTTGGGGCTCCATCCCAGGATCCTGAGATCGTGGCCTGAGCCGAAACCAAGAGTGGGATGCTTAATCGATTGAGTCACCCGGGTGCCCCTTAATACTTTATCATTGGAAGATATGTTGGAAAATTTTATTTTTCATGCATCTCTTTTGAGTATATTTTCCCTGTATATGCTTAGTTAGCTATAAAAGGGGCTATAGCATATAGAATGTTTTTATTGCTGACACTTGAAGTGTGTGTATGGAGGGAGGGGTGCTAACTTTCCCTCCCTCCCTCAAACTCCCAGATCTATGTATCCTCTGTCTTTCTCTATGTTCTTTTTATCATATGCATCCATATATGTCAGTGGTAATAGTTGATGCACATTTATTTTGTTTCCATTTTCTTACCATTAATAAAATGTTCAGTAAACATCCTGTAATAATTCTTAGGTACTGTTGCTTTTATTTGTGTAGGAGAGAGTTCCAGTTGGGAGTTTATTGCTACAAAGTATGTGTACATCTTACATTTGAATAGATATTTCCACATAGCTTTCCAGGAAGGCAGTAGCAATCCACACTCCATCATTGATGTCTGAGAGTGCCCCTTTTCCTACTGGCATTAGGTATTTTTTTCAGTAAGATGGGTGAACAGTGATTTTTCTTTGCTACTTTAATTTTCATCTCCCTGACTCGAAATAAAGCTTTCTTCCCCTCCATATGGCAAATGTTTACTGAGCACTTTACTTGAGCCAGGCACTGTGAAGTAAACAAATCATTATCAAATAATTACCAGACAGTTTTGACCCTTAGCACTCTCTAGGGATGATCCTTAGATTGCCAAATCCCCAAATTCCTTAGTATTGTCACAGTTTATGTTTTACCACACGGAGTGCAACACATATAACTGAAAGACTTAACTGACCCCAGTCAGACCCTTACTATTACCATATATATGGTTAAAGACATTTATAAAGCTTTTTTTTTTTTCTGGCACAGAGCTTGTCTGTCTTAAATATTAGTACTCCTTCACTTCCATCTCTAACATTAATAGTTATATTTTTCTCAGGCCAACTGGGTGGCTCAGTCGGTTGCACATCCAACTAGATTTGGGCTCAGGTCATGATATCAGGGTCATGAGATCAAGCCCTGCCTGAGACTCTGCGCTGGGGGTGGAGCCTGTTTAGGATTCTCTCTCTCTCTCCCTCTGCCCCCCACTCCCGTGCACACTCTCTCACTCTCTGAGAAAAAAACATAGTTACATTTTTCTTAGGGGCCATGTTTCATAAAACAGTGGAATAATAATAACCAAATACATCTCATACAGGGTATTTTTGCATTTTGTTTATATGTATAAGTGTGTCCTAGGTGGTGATCTAAATAGTAGTTATTACTGTGGGTCACAGTCAGAAAAGTGAGAAACACTGATGACACATGGAAAAAGAAACAAGTTCTGTTAAACTGTGACTCCTGTGTGCTCAGTTGGGACCCTGATTAGCAGACTTCCTCTTGCGTACCAATCTTGTGGTATACATGTTTTGTATTAATGCCACTATAATTGCAAATATCTAAGTGTACCAAATTTGGGGTGGAGGAGGGAATCTTATTTGTGAATGGCAAAACTTCAGGTTATAAACCCCTGAATATCAGGGACCTACACACAGTTTACCATAAGGTTTACAGAGATAAATACAGAAGAGCACAGAAATGCAGTGTCTAATGCAAATGAGTTGAAATGGGTAGAGTGGTGGGCGGCTTCTCAAAGGAGATGATAGGAGTCTTCAGGAGCAATTAGGAGTTACATGAAAAAAGAGAGGTATTCTGTTCTATGATGATGTAATAGGTACAGAAGAGACAGACGTACAGAGTCAGTGGATCTGGCAACAACAACTAATTGGTTATAGCAGTTATAATTGGTATAATAATTGGTGCGAGAATGGTGAGAGATGGGAAAGTTTGACAGGGCCCAAATTATGATTTGTTCTGCTATACTAAGGTACTTGAATTTTTTTTTTTTTTAATCTTTCACTAATGAGAGTAGCACTGGCATTATAAGCAGTTGACAGTCATGGTGTACTACAAAGGTTACCCAGATTTTCTTAAATCCTCTATCAATATGATGTAAGAATGCTAATTTAGCTTTTTGAAATATTTATGACTTTTTAAAAAAGATTTATTTATTTTATATATATAGAGAGAGAGAAAGTGTGTGTGAGCGGGGGGGGGGGCAGAGGGAGAGGAAGAGAGAGAATCCTCAAGTAGATTCCCCCCTCCCCCTGATGAGCACAGAGCCCAACATGGGGCTTGATCTCAGGACGCTGAGATCATAACCTGAGCGAAACCAAGAGTTGAATGCATAACCGACTGAACCATCCAGGCGCCCCTGATTTTTTTTTTTTTTTAAGATTTTATTTTTAAGTAATCTCTACACCCAGCATGGGGCTTGAACTTACATCCCCGAGATCAAGAGTTGCACGCTCTACTGACTAAGCCAGCCAGGCACCCCTATGACTTTTATAATAAGGAAAAGCAGTAGACCAGTTTTCTATTTTGAAAGTTAATATTACCAATTATCAATGATATGTCCTCTTAGTTTTATTTTCTACTAAACAGTGCTTAAACTTTCTGTGTTCACTGAGTCAGTACACCCCATGTTAAATTGGACTGTCTGCCAAAGAATGATCAATGGCATTTGGTGGCTTAGCCCTTGTGTATTTTGATTTTATTGTAAAAACATTGTTGTTCTTGTCTTAAATATCTGTTCTTTTCTTCTCTCATCTTATGGGCTCCTAGGAGCTTATAATGTCCTATATTTATCATAGCATCCAGTTGGTTTATGATGGGGTCTTAATAAAGTTTACTGATAAATTTCTTAAAAACTTTGAAATTAAAAATTGACTTGCATTTGTATCAAATGCTGTCTGCAGCTCTGTAAATTAGTTACGTTTTCCCCTAGGTAACTTTTGAATTTTTTAAAAAATCACATTTTATTAGCAATGGAAATTAAAACTCCTTTGATGGGATAAGTTTTTTCTTTTGAGATCTCATCCTGTCCTTTTAAGGATAGATTTAGTGTACTAAATCTACTTGTATTATGCTTCATTGTTGTAAGTAGGATGATAAATTAGTTATTTATTGCTGCATAACACGTTACCCCCAGATTTAGGAGCTTAAAACAGCAGACGTTTGTTATATCATGGTTTCTGTGCATCAGGACTGCAGGCACACTTTTACTGGGTTTTCCCTCAGAGTCTCCCATAACGTAGCAGTCCAGGTGTTGGCTGTGGCTCCAGTCGTCTCAAGGCTGGAGGGTGGAAATCTACCTCCCCATTTGCTCATTGTGTGTGGGTGCTAGCAGGATTCATCTCCTGCCAGGCTATTGGACTGGCTGGAGGCCACCCTCAGTTCTTGTCACGTGGGTCTTTGTAGGGCAGCTCACCACATCTGGCTTCCATCAGGTTGATCAAGAGAGGGGGAAAAAGAGGGAAGACAGTCTTTTTGTAACATGATCTTAAAGGTGACATTCTATGACTTTCATAGTATTCTGTTCATCAGAAGCAAGTTACTCAAGCAAGTTACAGAAGCCCACACTCAGGAGGGGATTGAACAACAGGATGAATACCAATGGTAGAATCATTGGGAGCCATCTTGGAAGCTATCTGCAGCTATGAAAGACCCACATTTACTTCTTTTTTATTAACTAAGTGTCTTGTGTGTTTAGGTCTTTCCCCTACAGCTGGTTTGTAAACCTCTTGAGAAAAA